AAAATCAAGGTTTGCTTGGAATTTATGTATATATTTTTAATCTTTTCAAGCTGTGGATTGTTGAATCCTTGGATAAAAAATATGTGAATACAGAAGGCCAACTGTAAAATCTAACCAAGTAGCAGAAAACAACTCTAGGTGAGTCCAAAGGTTTATCTAAAAGGCCAAGTCTTGGTGATATAACAGAAGGACAAGTTGATGCAGAAAGCTCTTTGAAGAGAGTGTTCATAAGGTTGACTCTCATTTATTAGAAGTTAGAGACAAACACTCATGACTGGTGGCCTGAATCAGTAGGGGGCAATAGAGAATTGGCCAGACCTAGGTATCTCTACTTTTCTGTCCTTCTGAGAAACTATTTCTTGAAATGTAGATTGCTATTCTTAGTTTCTGCTTCCTTCCTGCTTTTTCTCCAAGAGGTTATTGTTATTCTTTCTTTATCCTAGAAAGAGGGAGACACATGTCTCCATGAGGGCTTTGAAGCACACTCACACTCTTAGGAGCCAGATCTAGGGGATTTTGTAAACTAAATTGGGATTTCTCAGCTGGCTCATAGCTGAATAGAAACAATAAAGTGAAGTGTTTTTTATTTTCTTTTTATAACCAGCTCCCAGAGTATTCCTCAACAAAAACAAGCTCAATGCTAAACTGCAATACTGTAAACACTCAATATTTTCCAATTATTCCTCCACACAACATTTCAGATCATGGGAAACAGAATGCAAGATTTTCTATAGGCTAGTCCTAAAAAAGTCTTAAAATAGTCAATTTTAAACATTAACACCAGTTTGTTTTAAGACCGGCATTTGGAAAATAAATTGGTAACCAGGATAGTAGATTTAACACCAAAAAGATAGGATCAGAGCATCTCACATCATACAGTACAGTCAGCACTCTATATCCACGGATTCTTTATCCATGAGTTCAAAGATCCACAGTTTGAAAATATTCAAAAATATATAAATTCCAAAACACAAACCTTGATTTTATGATTTTGAATAAGGAAACCCATTTTAGTATGCCATTGCATTTAATGGGATTTGGTATGGGGGGGAAGGATTCCTGGAACCAAACTGCAGCAGATACCAAGAGACTCTGTAATCTACCTGCTGCAATCTGAACCCACTGAAGCATATGAACACTCTTCAAAGGTGTGCTTTGCACTAATCTAAGGACATAGCTGGGGCATGAACAACCATGGTGTACTAAAGGCTGTAGCTGAACATACAGAGCAGAAATACAAACAGTTTGTCACACAATAAAAATACTGTGAATAACTTAAACAGGCAAGCTGAGACACAAGGCAGGGCAGGACATGCACAACAAGGGGAACACAAACAAATGGAAAAAATAGCCACAGTTACCAGATGACATAACCAAATTCCTCCCTGATCTGTTGATATGGTGCTCTTGTAAGCATGAATCATCCAGTGAAGCCAATGGGATTATCCTTATTATCGGAGAAAACAAAGCTGCTTCTTAACATCTGTAAATATCTGAAGGGATATGCAGAAGAAGGAGTGGGGCTGTAGGTATGGGCCAAAAGGCCCATGTTTCCCCCCAGCTTTGTGTCAGTTTGTTTAGAAGTTGCAGGTCAACAGCCCCAGCAGACTGGGTGCCATTCTGATCTAGCTTGACCTTGACCCAACTGACTCTTAGCCTGGTCTAAAAAAATCTGTAGCAAAGGTTCCAGTAGCTGGTAGACTGGACAGCTACATGTCCCTTTGCCTGCCAACACCACCATTCTGTTTGCAGCCCCCAGGTTCCAGCCTGTGATGTTGGAAGGGAGCACTTGGCTACATGAGTGAAAAGAGCCCCATGTCCACTCTTACAAACCATGGTGGGGGATTGTACATAGAATGGCAGTGGTGATGGGCAAGATGGCAACAGCAACTCCACAGCATGTCAGTGGACATGGATCTGAACACCCACCTGTGACTGCATCAGATAAGTGCCAGGGGTAGGAATGAGCTGGATCTGGAGGCAAGATATGATGGGGATGGCCTGTCATATCCTGCTTGTGTGTTCAGTACCTATGATATTGAATCATAAAGCTGCATGGGACTGCAAGTGCCAACTAGTTGCTTAGAGCTGCAAGGCACCACATAGAACTGTATGGGACTGCAAGTACTATCTAGTGCCCTTACCTTGCAGGAGTACACAACTAAAGCACCCCTGAAAGAAACCCATCCAACCTCTAAGGAAAGAGAGTCCACTATCCTTCCAGGCAATCTGGTCCACTATGAAAATCCTCTTACAGCCAATAAGTTCTTCCTAATGTTTAGGTGGAATCTCTTTGTCATTTGAATGCATTGGTTCTTATTCTAATCTCTGGAGTAGCAGAAAACCAACTGGCCTCATTTTCTGCATGCCATCCCTTCATAAATTTAAGATGGTGGATTGATTTAAGAAGCTGGATATGTTTAGCTTGGAGAAGAGAAGGGGGGCATGCTAGCTCTCAGTCTTCTCTTCTCCAAGCCAGACATACCCAGCTCCCTATGTTGTTCTTCCTTGTTCTACATGACATCCCTTCAGATATGAACATATAATTTCAAATTATAGGAAAGGAAATTGTGCCTAGACATTCAAAAGAGTTTCCTGATAGGAAAAGCTGTTTGATCATGGGCTGACCTGCCTCAGATGCTGGTGGAGTCTCCTTCATAATAGTCTTTTAAACAATGGTTGAATGGCCATCTTGTGAATATTTTAGCTGTGGATTCATGCATAGCAGAAGTTTGCATTTATATGGTCTTTGTAGTCCCTTCCAATTCTATGATTCCATGATCTTCAAGAAGTCCAAATTAAAAAGTGAGTAGTTTGCCCATATTTATTTTGTTTCTTTCAGTATTTAAATGCCAGTTTCCCTGACTAAATTTCTCAAGGCATATTAAAAACACAGATCTGAATTCTTCTCTTAGGCCCAACTAGAACAGACCTATTGAACCAGAACAATTTACCTATGTTGACTCACCATTCAACAGTCGATTCAATAAATTGACTCTAGCCAAGACTAACCATTGCAGACCAGAGTTAGTATTAGCAGAATTTGTAGTCCTTGGAAAGCATCATTCCTCTTCTTTACCACTTTTCTACTTTGCCATTGTCTTAACTTTTTCAATGTATGTGGCACTTTGCAGAGTAATGTATGCAAAAAGACTGATCCCTGCCCCAAGGAGCCTGAAAACTAAAGTTATTAGACAGCAAGGAGGAAGAGGGACAACAGAAAAAGGAGACCTCTGGAACAGTAAGGGAAACAGAACAACTTTGGGAAGGGAAGAGAATGAATGCAAAGGGTATGTAGAAATTTTGAGTACAGCAATTTGTTGCTGAATTTGAGACTATAAAAAAGAGTGGTGCAATTTACTGCAATATAAAAGAGAGTACTTCAACTCTGGGAACTACAATTTAGGGAAAAAAAGGGATGCAATTGTGTTCCGCATATTTCCATTCTTGTAATGTTACTACAGTGTTACTGCAGTGTTACTGCAGTATTATCGAACATTTCATGCATGCACCATTTTGGTGTGACTGCGCATGTCTGAAAGGTATGGTCACGTGCCAAACAGAACAAGATAAAACTGATAAAATTGATATATTTCAAAACATTACTTTTATACATTTCAAAGAAAATTGTGTCCTGCACCTCGAAATAACAGAAAAATCCACTCCAAAACCAATCCTAACAATGAAAATTAATTGCGTGTACCTAAATGCACTCTGGGGAAAAATCCTGGATTGTTCTTCGATAGCGTGAACAAAGTGTTATTGGCTTCCGCATCTTCACGATAGCACGAATGAAGTGCTATCGGCAAGCTATTCATGGGGATCCCCTTTTAATAAGAAATTACAGGAGCATTCCAGGTTGTTAACAGGAGAAGTATGGAATGAGCACGATGTCATATGAAAATCTTCATGCAATCATGCAATCATGACGGGCGCATTCCATTTTTCTCCCATTTCTTATCCCCGTATGATAATCTCCTGAAGCTAAGTACCAGCTACCATTGCCCTCAGGTTCTGCCAGGGATGTAGTTATGGGAAGAGCAAATTGTGTTCATTCCCACCCCTAGAAAAATAAGACTTTTGTCCTCCAAATTAAATTTTCCTTCAGTGTCCAAAGGTCTAGCCCTAAAGAGAGAAAAAGAAACAGAAAACTATTCACATCTACAACTTTGCTATTTCTGGCAGGCTTACCCAGGTGATTTTTAAATTGTGAATTTTAAAAGATGAACTGTAAATGCAGATTGTTTTAATATGTACCCCGTACTTTCTGG